TAAAACCTTTCACACCTGGAGGTAAAAACTCCACCCCAATTGATTGAACTCCATCCTATTTTCTGTTCATCGTCAGTCTTGTTACCAAATTCCTCTAATTTCAAGTTTTTTTTTTTCACAAACACAAATTCTCCAATAAATTTACAATTGCAGCATTTAGACAAATCAACTCTGTATGTTTTACTGGGGGATATCATACCCTTTGCAGAGTTTCTGTTATCTGCATATTCATGCCCATGTATCTGGATGAAATTAGAAGTATTAAGGACCATAATAGTTTTTTTATCCTATATTGCTAAAACAGGGTGACAACCTCGCGATCAGGCAATCTGTACATCACTTTAATGCCAGGATCTGGGCACCTTGCTGGTTCAGTCATACGATCACAGGCGTAGACCTGTCACATTTTATTTCAATTCTGACTTTCGATTAAATCTGCCTACCTTCACAAAATCCGCACTTCTTCTTGCAGTTCTTTTTCATCCATTCATTTTCACAGCTTTCTACCGAAAAGCGACTGCATTCCTCGTTATCCTTGCAAACGGCTGAAATTAATCACGTCCCAAAGAGCGTTATCTTATAGTACGGATAATTTTTATCCTTTTGCTTCGTCAGTCAATTGCTTGTTTTTCTAGGGTACTTTAAAAATCCCATGCCTAGTCAAATTTTCTAAATCTCGGCTAAACTTGCGCGCCTTGTCCGCCATGTTTGTTGTTCAATTCCAGTCCCCTCTCACACTTGTTAAAAAATGTAGGCCTGCAATGCACATACAAATTATGGCCGAAGATATCGTATACTTACGTCGACAAAACTGGCATTTTCGTGGACAATTAAGATGAACCCATTCATCATTACACTGGTTCATAGAGTATCGTGAACATTCACTCTTGTCGTTACACCAGGGTGCTGAAAATGACAAAAAAACGCGATAGTTATACCTAACATTCGTCATCCGCCTCATTTAACCGAAAGTGCCCCTGATGTTCGAAGAGTGCTTTTTCTTACACTTGTCGGCTGGATAGTGATTTATCAGTAGAAAATTTTTGACCACACTTCAAACAACTGGGGCCAGATTACTTAAATGATAACCCTTACTTCGAAAAACGGAAAAATTAAATGAAATCACACGAAATTATTCACCTTTACAGCCTCAGATTGTTGCATGAGGGCCAAAAGTATGCGTGATTCTAACGAAGTAATTGTTAAGAAAAGAGCTTAGTTACCTTCTGGTATTTGAAGAAAAGTTGTCCCATGACTCACTGTTACATTGATGTGATTTTTCGCCGGACCTTTTACTTTAATCTGAGCTTTATGTTCATCTTCAGCTTTAATGTTTGCAGGAAGTTTGACAACAATGGTTTCCACCATGGGTGCTTTGTTAGACACCTGGTCCTCTAACGCCGGTTTACCATTTTCACCTTTAATGTTTACTAGAACAGGCTTTCGGGATGTCTCCAATGATTTTGTTACCTCAGACGGCACTGTTACAGACAACTCCGTGTACGGTTTCTCTGTTGCTTTATTCGTTTTTACTGCTTGTTGAGGTTTCGTGAAGGTTGAGGTTGTTTCTATGACAAACGAAACAGTCGTTAGATCTTTCAGGAAACCAGAAATGATCCCTGATGACTACAAGCTAGAATCAAATTGAACAAATGGGCTCTTATCTGGCTTGCGTACTAATGATAAATTTGCCTGCTCTCTTCTTTTCTGGTATGCTTTAAATCCGGCGCGTTACATACGTTGCGTTACGAACGTTCTGTAACTTTTATACGTTACTAGATTTTGACTGAAAGCCATGTATGTTCCTAAGGACCACGGGCGTCATAGATGACTTTGTACGAGTTTGATTAATGAGTGGGATAGAAAACCAT